CTCCCCGAGAAAGGGATCCAGGCGCTCGCCGGCATCTACAACCACGTGGAGGCCAACGGACTGTGGCCGCAGCAGCTCTGCGCCACCATTGGGGCCATGGCCCCCAAGCCCGCAGGTGGAGAGAGAATCTTGGGCATGCTCCCCACCATCCCCAAGACGTGGGCCAAGGTCCGCTCCAGCGTCACCGACGAGTGGTCCAAGGAGCTCGGGGAGTCCTGGGACACCGCCATCAAAGGCTCCAGCGCCTTAAGAGCAGCGCTGGTCAGGGCGCTGCTCGACGAGACGGCAGCGACCTTTGGCATCGCCTTCGCGACCTTGCTGATGGACGTAGAGAAGTTCTACGACTCGGTCTGCTACGCGCCCCTCTTCGACGCCGCCATCGGGGTGAGCTTCCCCCCGATCGTCGTGGCGCTGGAGGCGCAGCTTTACCTGGCGCCCAGGTACTTGCGCATGCACGGCTGGGTCAGCGACATCATAGATGCCGAGAGGTCCATTGTCGCGGGCAGCTGCAATGGCGGCAAGCTCGCCAAAGTCTACCTGGGGCCGATCCTGCAGAGGGCCCACATTAACCACACATACGCGGGCCTGTGGACGTTCGTGGACGACACGGTCGCGAGAACAGAGGGCCAAACCAAACAGGTCGTCAAGGATCTGATTGGAGTCGGCGCCGACCTTTGCGCAGGTATGACGGGCGCGGGGCTTCGAGTCTCGCCCAAGACCACCGTCGTCGCCTCCAACCAGACGATCGCCTACGCAGTGCACGACGGCCTCAAGCAGAAGGGCGACTACGTCAAGGTGGCCAACAGCGCGGTCGACCTCGGCATCGACGTGGGCGGCGCCAAGAGACGGGTCGTGGCCAAGGCCACCAAGAGGGCCAAGATTGCGAGGAGGCGCACTCACCGCATCGTCGCCAAGGTCAGGAAGCACGCCCCCCTCGCCAAGATCGCGAAGGGCTTGTGGAACACGGGCTCCAGGCCGCAGGGGACCTACGGCCACCAGATCATGGGCCTCGCCCCAGCGGCCATCCTCGACCAGAGGCGCCAGGCCATCCAGGCCTCGGCGGGGAAGGTCCTTGGCCGCTGTCTCTCCACAGCCCTGGCCGTCGCCATGAGGAAGGAGGACCCCGCCATCGAGCTCAGGCGCCAGTCGATCGCCGAGTGGCTCAACTTCTGGATGCAGTACCCAGAACACCACATGCGGGCCACGCAGGCGTGGAAGCTGATCTACAACAAGTCGATCACGCGCGGCAACAAGAAGTGGAGGAAGGTCATGGGCCCCATCTCCGCCGTCCAGGCCATCCTCCTGGACGCTGGCTGGACCTGCCCGACGCCAACGGAGTGGTCACGACCACCTTGGGCAGGCGAGACCCATACCCAGGAGTGGCAGCTACCTCACAGTGGACAAGCCGACTGGGAGGACAAGCGCTACGACGTGGACCTTGCGGAGTCGTCCACGAGTCCTGCCTGTCCCTCGAGAGGAGCCTCTGGAAGGACACTGCCAAACATCCACATGGAGAAGGATTGCAACGTGGGGGCCCAGACGTCCACATAGTTGCCAACGAGATGGAGAAGTTCACGAGGAAGGGCCAGCACGACCAGTCGGCCCTCAACCTCTGCGTGGTCGCGGGGGCGCAATGGCCCAGAAGCCGACTCATCGAGACGGGGTACAACGCTACTCCAACTTGTCCGAGGTGCGGAGGGGCCGACGAGACGCTCATGCACAGGGTCTGGCTGTGCCCCTGCAACCGCGACCACGAGGACTACACGGATTCTGACGCCCTCATGCCCTCTGCCCTGGCTGGAGCGGAGGCTGCCCCCGCATACTGGCTCCGTGGCCTGCCTGCGTGCGCTGACACGCACCCGCTCTTTGCTTCATTGGGGGTGGACGGCGGGTGGAGCTGGGTTGGGCGGGATTGGGAGGACTGCGTCAGTAGCGACGGCACCCTCACTCTCTTCGGAGACGGCTCCGGAGGTCAGTACAGTGATGGCCCACGTTGCCGAAGAGTGGGGGCCGCCTGTGCTGCTATGAAGTGCCTCTTCGGGGAGTGGGTCCCCTGGGGAGGAATTATGTCGGGCCTCGAGGGCCCCTTTCAAACTGCGCCCCGTGCAGAGCTGCTAGCTTTCGCGCTCGCCCTAGAACACTGGAAGGGCGACCTCTGTTTCATTACAGACCACCTGCCGCTATACGACGGATGGCGGTCGAATCGACACTTGCGCCCCTGCGATGGCGCAAATCAGGACTTGTGGGCACGAATTGCCAAAGCAATTCGTGCACGTGGCACTAGTCAGCTCACTGTGATCTGGGTGCCGTCACACAGCGAGGAGTCACCTGGCCTAGCCTCAGACCCTGTGCGATACTTTCACACTATCGGCAACGCGACGGCCGATGCATGGGCAGGTGTAGCGACCCAACAGTCCTACGAGGCTTCGCTTGTAGGACAGGCCCCTCCCACTGACCTGCACGATGCCCAGTGCACCCTCATCCGCAGGAGGGCGCGCCGTGCCCTAGCTGACACGCTTGCAGTCGATCCGCGGGTCGCGGAGCGACCCTCGCAGGCCAAAGGCCCGCGCTTCACCAAGCTGCAGTTAGCCATGCAATCGACCCAGCACGCCTTTGAGCTCAGAGCGGGCAAGTACCTGTGCTCCCGTTGCGGGCTCACCACAGACATGTGTAAAGTACGCCGGGCCTGTGCCACGCCGTGCACCCACCAGCCGCCCCTGCCGTCAGCCAGTGACCAGATAGTGCCAGTACAGGGCACCATCACCATTTCTGGGCGCGAGCTGCACGCCAGCCATATTCTCCATTTCATGCAGAGGTACCGCATGTACTTCTGCCGCGGGCGCGGCAAGACGGCAACCGAGGACCCACGCCACCTTACCGCACCCTGCACGGGTATCACCAAGAAAGGGCGAGAGAATCTCGCCAAAATAGACAAAGGAGAATACACGCGCGCCCACGCTGGGCGCGATGGCCTCACCAAGTTTCTGCGCGCAGCTACCCACGGCATGGCCGTGGAAGAAATTTCAGCTGCCGCTGCGCCTGCCGCTGCAAGCGCCGCTCATAGTCAGGGCTAGAATGCACTTGGCATCGCCCGAACTTCGCACCTGGGTTCGCTCGGTCTGTTCCTCTGTTCCTCCCCCTCCTCGTCCTCCTCCTCGTCCTCCTCCTCCTCCTCCTCCTCCACCTCCTCCTCCACCTGCTCCTCCTCTCCATCTCCTGTCCTCCTCCTCCTCCTGCTCCTCCCCCCCCTCCTCCTCCTCCTCCTCCTCCTCTCACCTTCCTCCTCCTCCTCCTCCTCCTCCTCCTCCTCCTCCTCCTCCTCCTCCTCCCCTCCTCCTCCTCCTCCTCCTCCTCCTCCTCCTCCTCCTCCTCCTCCTTCCTCCTCCTCCTCCTCCTCCTCCTCCTCCTCCTCCTCCTCTCTCCTCCTCCTCCTCCTCCGCCTCCTCCTCATCATCATCACCTTCATCATCATCATCAGCATCATCATCATCACCATCATCACCATCATCATCATCATCATCAGCATCATCATCATCATCATCATCATCATCATCGTGTCGCCTACGGCCCCGGGGGGAACCGTGCAGTTTTTTGTTGTCGTTGGGGCCCACGCGGACGGGGGTCGGCGAGCCTCCTCTGGCTGGCCTGCGTCTGGGAGCCATGTACGTGGGGCCCCAGCTCTCCGACGAGACGGGTTGTTCCATCATTTTTCCCGGATTTCGGCTCCCGGGGGGCGGGGGGGGGGTGAACAACCCAGACATGCGACGTTTTGACTTTTCCCGGAAAGGGCTTAGGCCCAGGGTTCTCTTTTAGCTGTTTACCCCGGACCTGACTTGAGGTGGGCCGGCGGAATTATTCCCTCATAAATATCAAGTCGAGGTGGACCAGCGGAATTATGTTCGAGGATGTCCCTAGCGAAACGCTTGTTTTTCAGAATTTGATGAGGATGTCTCGGGCGAAACGCTTGTTTTGTGTTATGGATTGTCCTTTCCTGGGGACCAGAATTTAGAGGATCTCTCAAGTGAAATGCTTAGTTTAATGTGCCCAGGTCTTGAGGATGTCTCGAGCGAGACGCTTGGTTTCACGCCTCCAGGTTGCCCAGGCAGAGGTCAAGCGCCAGGATTTGTTGAGGATGTCTCGAGCGCGACGCTTGGTTTCACGCGTCCTCGTCGCCCAGGCGGATGTCTAGAATGAGGAGGTGTTGAGGAAGTCTCGATCGAGATGCTTGTTTGCACGTGTCCAGGTTGCCCAGGCGGATGCCTGCATGAGGATGTGTTGAGAATGTCTCGAGAAATACGCTTGTTTTCACGTGTCCAGGTCGCCAAGGCGGATGTCTAACATGAAGTTGTGTTGAGGATGTCTCGAGCGAGACGTTTGCTTTCACGTGCACAGGTCGCCAAGGCGGATGTCTAGAATGAGGAGGTGTTGAAAACGTCTCGAGCGAAACGCTTGTTTTCACGTGCCCAGGTCACCCAGGCGGACGTCTCACATGAAGATGTGTTGAGGATGTCTCGAGCGAACTACTTGTTTTCACGTGTCCAGTTCGCCCAGGCGGATGTCTAGCATGAGAATGTGTTGAGGATGTGTTGAGCGAAACGTTTGTTTTCACGTGTCCAGGTCGCTCAGGCGGATGTCTAGAATGAGGATTTTGACAGGATGTCTCGAGCGAAACGCTTGTCCCAGCACGTTCCGTAGCGCGTCCCCTTGGCACGTCCCGCGGTGCGTCCCCATGGCACGTTCCCTGGCATGTCGCCTGGCGCGTCCCTTGAGACGTTCCACGGCGCGTCCTCCTGGCATGTCCCCCTGTCAATTAGCTCTGCGGCAGATACTCTTCGTTCAGGCCGCTCGAACTTAAGATCCAGATCAGTTCGGTCAGGACTCGGATGCAAAGGAGGGCTCGATCCACGACGCTATAGAGCACAACCGCGGCATGGCACATCGCAATTCAGGAGGAGGAGGAGGAGGACGTCGCATGTCTGGGGCTGCTGCGAGCTCGCCAGGCCCTCGGCCCCTGGATACCCCAGATCGCCGTGCTCTTCGCGGTGCCCATCGTCGGCGGCACAGTGGCGTCGAGCGCGGAGCAGGTGTGGGGCGGCGACGCCGGCCTGCACGTGGCGGTGACGGAGGAGGAGGAGGAGGAGGAGGAGGAGGAGAATGAGGGGGGAGGAGGAGGGGGAGGGAGGGGAGAAGGAGGAGGAGGAGGGGAGGAGGAGGAGGGAGGAGGAGGAGAGGGGAGGAGAGGGGCCGCCAGTGCCCACGGGGTGTACGCTTCTAAGTTGGAGCTGGCCGGGGGCTCCCCGACCACTGTGTTGGTGTTGAGCCTCTTCCTCTCCTCCTTCCTCTCCTCCTCCTCCTCCTCCTCCTCCTCCTTCCTCCCCTCCTCTCCTCCTCCTCCTCTCTCCTCCTCCTCCTCCTCCTCCTCCTCCTCCTCCCAGGGGGCCGCCAGTGCCCACGACGTGTACGCTTCCAAGTCGGAGCCGGCGGGTGGCTTCCTGGCCAGTGTGTTGATGCTGAGCTCCATTGCTGTCGGCTTCGCATGGGAGCGACCCTTCGCCGGAGGGACCTCAAGCAGACAGCGGTCCCCCAAGCACTGGCCTGAAGCAGCTTTCGCGCCCGGATTCGGCCCCCCGTGGCCCCCGAAAGGCGCGCGCCAAGGGTCACTCTGGCCTGGGGTCCTCCTTACGTGCATCCGATGTCAATGCCTCGCTGTCCTAGCGCTTTGCTGTGTTCTTGCTCGCTAGTGCGTTTGACACGCGTGCGGAGCTACTCTGTCAATGCCAGGCTTTCCTGTGGTTTTACTGGTGGCCCAGCAGCACTGGTTCTGGCCAGCAGAATGGGGGAAGAAGGGGCTCACCTCGTCGCCGCGGCTGGGCGCGGATCGAAGAGCTGCTCCGTTTCGATTTTCAGGAGGGTCTGGGGACCGATGTTGAACGAATTTGCCCCTATCCCGCCGTCTTCACCGATTTTCTCGGGGCTTGTCCAGCTCAGACCCCCGTGCCGCCTCCTATTTCCAAGTATCGAAGCAACATGCTGTTTCGTTTGTCGCGGGAGCATGCGGTCACGGAGGCTCCGCGCGCCCACCAGCGGGGAGAGCTCGGGGAACGATTGGCTTGCAGCCGGGACCATGGTGAGGCGTAAAGATTGCACACGGGTGCAGAATAACTTATCTAGTATGGGAGGGTACCCAGACCCCCGACGTCGTGATTGTTTCACATCGTCGACCCCCCGAGGTCTGGACCTCTTCCCCGGGACCGGTTTTTCATCCTGAGTATTTTGTTGTCGGTCCTGGGGCCCAGTAAAGACATCCAGAAGCCGAAAATAGCGAAAATCCTCACGTCACGATTTTTTCGTTACCCGAGGGGCTCTGGGGTACATAGTATGTGGTTGGTGCTTGTGCTCTCCACCGTGGAGTTCCTCGTTATGATATCTCCGTGGGGCTCTGGGGCGACAGCGTATGACTCGTGCTCCTGACCCAGTCTCGTTCCTGTGGCCACGTTTCGACCTCGCAGGTCCGCGCCGTCGCAGGAGGTCGAGAGGCCATCGAACGTGGTCGATTGGCGTTGAAGCCCGACCCTTCTAGGACAAGGCCAGCTAAACCAAAGCAGGCTGCCGTACAGTCGGACCGAGGTATAAGATCGAGGTCGGTTCGGGGAGGGTACCCTAGTGCTCTCCGTATTTGTTGGATGTTTTTGTGCATCCTGGGTCCACCGCGTAAGGGTCACCGTCCCCAGACCCCCGACGTCGTGTTTTTTCACAACGTCGACCCCCCGAGGCCTGGACCCCGTCCCCAGGACCCGTTTTTCATCCAGAGTTGTTTTTTGTCGGTCCCGAGGCCTGGTAAGGGCCCCTGGGGGCCGAAAATATTGAACATGATGGACCCACGAACCCGGAAAGGGATATAGACATGTGGAGCATGGACACGTTTTCACGATACCCAACTGGGCAACACCTCACGAAACATCCCACGAGACACTTCACGAAACATCCCACGAGACACCTCACGAAACATTCCACGAGACACCTCACGAAACATTCCACGAGACACCCCGCGAAACATTCCACGAGACACCCCACGAAACATTCCACGACGACAGGCAACCACTCAACCAAGGCGGTGTGGTCGTGCTGGGGAGTGGTCGTGCTGGGGTGTGGTCGTGCTGGGGGGTGGTCGTGCTGGGGGGTGGTCGTGCTGGGGGGTGGTCGTGCTGGGGCGTGGTCGTGCTGGGGCGTGGTCGTGCTGGGGCGTGGTCGTGCTGGGGTGTGGTCGTGCTGTGGTGAGGTCGTGCTGGGGTGTGGTCGTGCTGGGGTGTGGTCTTGCTGGGGTGGGGTCGTGCTGGGGTCGGGTCGTGCTGGGGTGTGGTCGTGCTGGGGTGGTCGTGCTGGGGTGGGGTCGTGCTGGGGTGGGGTCGTGCTGGGGTCTGGTCGTGCTGGGGTGTGGTCGTGCTGGGGTGTGGTCGTGCTAGGGTGGGGTCGTGCTGGGGTGGGGTCGTGCTGGGGTGTGGTCGTGCTGGGGTGTGGTCGTGCTGGGGTGTGGTCGTGCTGGGGCGTGGTCGTGCTGGGGTGGGGTCGTGCTGGGGTGGGGTCGTGCTGGGGTGTGGTCGTGCTGGGGTGGTCCGCACCCTGTGATTTATCGATCGGGTCGTGCTGGGGTGTGGTCGTGCTGGTGCTGGGGTGTGGTCGTGCTGGGGTGTGGTCGTGCTGGGGTGTGGTCGTGCTGGGGTGTGGTCGTGCTGGGGTGTGGTCGTGCTGGGGCGTGGTCGTGCTGGGCGTGGTCGTGCTGGGGTGTGGTCATGCTGGGGGTGTGGTCGTGCTGAGGTGTCCCGCACCCTGTGATTTATCGATCGGGATTTCAAAAACAAGCGTTTCGCCTGAGACATCCTCAAATTTTAATCCGCCGGCCTCCTTCGACTTCGATATTTATAAGGGAAAGAATCCGCCGGCCTCCTTCAAGTTGGGAACCGGGGACATGTTTACATACTAAAAGGGAAAAACCTCCCGCCGAGACCCTTGCTCACAGCGCAAGGAGGTCTGGGATCGCCGACGCGCGTCGCAGGGCCGCCGTCGGGGGAAGTCCGGGGCCGCCACCGCGGCCGAAGCAGGGGCGCGGGCGCGCGCCACGCGCCGCCCCTCCTCGAGCACGTCCTGGTCCTTTCGAGGGGCCCCCCCGGAGTTCCAGGATCGAGGTTCGAGGATCGCAGGGGAGGAGGACGAGGAGGAGGAATGGGAGGAGGAGGAGGAGGAGGAGGAGGAGGAGGAGGAGGAGGAGGAGGAAGGGGGGAAGGGGGGGAGGAAGGAGGAGGAGGAGGAGGAGGAGGAGGAGGGAGGAGGAGAGTGGAGGAGGGAGGGGGCGCGCTCGCGTTGGGGGCCGAGGGGCGGCGCGGCGCGGGCCGAGGAGCGGCCACCCTCTCGAGCGCGTCGAGTGCCTCCATCGATCGGGGAGCGGCGTTCGATCCCCAGGCCTCCTCCTCCTCCTCCTCCTCCTCCTCCTCCTCCTCCTCCTCCTCCTCCTCCTCCTCACCTTCCTCCTCCTCCTCATCCTCCTCCTCCTGCGCCGCCTCCTCCTCTTCCTCCTCCTCCTCCTCCTCCTCCTCCTCCTCCTCCTCCTCCTCTCCTCCTCCTCCTCCCTCCTCCTCCTCCTCCTCCTCCTCCTCCTCCTCCTCCTCCTCCTCCTCCTCCTCCTCCTCCTCCTCCTCCTCCTCCTCCTCCTCCTCCCCATCAGACCCCCTCGCGCTGGGAAAAAAACACGACGGCAGGTTTTTCCCCACTTTCAGCCTCCGGGGGCCCTCACCGGGCCTCGGGGGGCGTCAGAAAACGATTCGGGACGATAAACCAGTCCCGGAGAAGGGGTCCAGATGTAAAAAAAAAGGAATCCTGGCGTCTATCTCAGGGCCTGTTGCAGCCCTCACCTTGTCGGCGTGAAAAACGAGTTCGACTGCGCCATCGCGTCGAGTATAACGTGCCGCGCTGGCGGCCCACGTAAGCCACCGCGTGAGGTCGCCATGTCATCTCGCGTAAGACACGTTTCTCTTCGTCGCCTAGCCCTGGCTCAATCCGTAGAGAACTAGTCCCGTGTACCCCCCCGCCCTATGTTGTCCCTACACGCGTCCTCAGTTGCGCATGGCTTCCTCTGTCGTGCATGGCTTCCTCTGTTGCACATGGTTGCCTTTGCTATCCACATGGCTCTCTATTTTGCCCCTGCACCCGTCCTCTGTTGCGCATGCCTTTCTATGTTGCGCATGGTTTCCTCTGCTAGCGTCCTCTGTTGCTTATGGCTTCCTCTGTGTTCGCATGGCTTCTGCTGCTATCCGCATCGTTTCCTCTGTATCCGCATGGCTTCCTCTGTATCCGCATGACTTCCTCTTCTAGCCCAAAGGCGTCCTGTGGCTATTCCCATGGCGTGCCAACAATCGTCCAACAATCGTAAAACTTAAAAGTAGAGTAGAGTAGAGAAGAGTAGATGAGTAGAGTAGAGCAGAATAGAGTGGAGGAGAGCAGGGCAGAGTAGAGGAGAGGAGAGTAGAGTAGGAGTAGAACAGAGTTGGAGTAGAGGCTCCGCGTGGCTATTCTAACGGCGTCCCAACACCCAACAATCGCTCAACAATCCTCAAATTCAGAAGTAGAGTAGGGTAGAGCAAAGTAGAGTAAGGTAGAGAAGAGACGAAAAGAGAAGATGAGTAGAGTGGAGCAGAATGGAGTAGAGTAGAGAAGAGTAAGCTAGAGGAGAGGAGAGGAGATGAGAGGAGAGGAGAAGATTGAATATGAGAGCAAATTAGAGTAGGGTCAGAGTAGAGTAGAGCAGAAGTAGAGTAGAGAACAGTAGAAAAGAGTAATAGAGTAGGGTGGGGTCGGGTAGAGTAGAGTAGAGTGGAGTGGAGTGGAGTAGAGTAGAGTAGAGCAGGGCAGAGTAGAACAGACTAGACTGGAGTAGGGTTGATGGTAGGGCACATTCAGGTCGAATGCACAAGAGCAGAGTAGAGTCGAGCGGAGGAGAGTATATTAGGGTAGAGGAGGGTAGATTAGAGTAGAGTAGGGTAGAATCGAGTAGGGCGGGACACAGTAGAGTAGAGCAGGGTGGGTTAGAGCAGAGTGGAGTAGAGTAGAGTAGATGGTAGAGTAG